CTAATTATTGCCAAAACAATGATTGCCAACACATATGTCTACCAAATGGTAATCATAGCTATCGGTGTCTTTGTTCAGACGTGGATCTACTGGACACTTGTGAACAATCAAATATAACCATCCCTTTAGTAACGGATAAACCCATTGAAAGCCAAAATTCAAGCGCTTTATCTGTATTGATGTCAACCTCTGACCCCTTATTATTAATTGTGTCTCATAAGAGGGACATAAGACTCGCCAAAGTGTCCGATAATCACACACTTTATTACATAGACTCAGAATTTGTACAAAAATGCAATCAATACGTGTTTGCCATTGACTATAGTATTGCTGACAATTATTTGATTGCCATTAAGACTGTATCTCAATATTCACCAGATTTTGCCACTTTGTATAGACAGCCCATTATCGACAAGCAGTCCATTGCTGGCAACACAAGCGATGACTTAATAGATATAACCGAAAGTTATAAATCATTGGCATTGGATTACATCCATAATATAATATACTACCCCCTGTGTAACTACATAAGCAAGGATATTGGTATATATGCCGTCAATATCACTAACCCCCACAAACATCAGTTCCCAATTGTTAGGCAACAACATTGTGTGGCCAAAGATATTCGTGTGGATCCGTTGGAATCACTATTATTCTGGAGTGAATACATACCATCGGAAACCACTTCCAGTTCTTATAGTTCTTACAGTTCTTACAGTCGATACACTTCGAGACCAACTTATAGTGACGCGAGACATAAAAGCCATATATTGCGGTCATCACAGGACGGACAGGGCGTTCAGATTATCGTGTATTCACAGTATGTGCGAAGGAATACCTTGAGCATAGACATCACAGCCAAAAAGCTTTATTGGATTAGTTCCGAGAGTTCGTATTCATCTGTCAGTCGGTTATACACTATTGGATACGACGGCTCAGACCAGAGGCTAATCCTGTCGTCAAAGAGTCTGTTCTCAGAGACCACTATCACCTCCACTTTGTATAGACAGCCCATTATCGACAACCAGTCCATTGCTGGCAACACAAGCGATGACTTAATAGATATAACCGAAAGTTATAAATCATTGGCATTGGATTACATCCATAATATAATATACTACTCCCTGTGTAACTACACGAGCAAGGATATTGGTATATATGCCGTCAATATGACTGACCCCCACAAACACCAGTTCCCAATTGTTAGGCAACAACATTGTGTGGCCAAAGATATTCGTGTGGATCCGTTAGAATCGCTATTATTCTGGAGTGAATACATACCATCGGAAACCAGTTCCAGTTCTTATAGTTCTTACAGTCGATACTCTTCGAGATCAACTTATAGTGACACGAGACATAAAAGCCATATATTGCGGTCATCACAGGACGGACAGGGCGTTCAGATTATCGTGTATGCACAGTATGTGCGAAGGAATACCTTGAGCATAGACATCACAGCCAAAAGGCTTTATTGGATTAGTTCCGAGAGTTCGTATTCATCTGTCAGTCGGTTATACACTATTGGATACGACGGCTCAGACCAGAGGCTAATCCTGTCGTCAAAGAGTCTGTTCTCAGAGACCACTATCACCGCAATGGATGTGTTCGGGGATTACATCTATTGGACGGACAACACAAACGATACCATACTTCGTGTGAATATGAAGGAGTCGAGTGAAGAATCGGTAGTCCATGTGGTGTTGCAATCGGGTATAGACATCAATGCCATGAAAGTAGTGCACAAATCGCGTCGACCTATGGCTAGAAATAAATGTGAGTCTCATTTGTGTCCCGAACTGTGTCTACCGTCCAGTTATAATCACCGCAACTACACGTGCCGTTCCCAATGCGAGTCGCAGACTTGGAACGGGAATACCTGTGTCACTGTGAACCCGGTGTCCGTAACTCCTATTTATAGAGTGACAACCCCTTTAACACAGTATGAAGTGTTGGACAACGAAACGAAATTATTGTTTGTGTCCTATAAGGAGGGAATTTATGTCAAGCAGAATATTCACGAATTGGACACTAATTTCATTGAGTCCATTGGATTGGTCTCAAGCAATGAGTGGATTACGGAATTGGATTATAATTACAACAATTTTATGCTTTATATCGTAAATAGTATTTTTGATGGATTTACATTATATGCCGCACCTATTGATAAAAGTAAACCATCGATTTATAAAAACAATCAACGATTACTCAAAAAGTCTTATGACTGCAAATCAATGGCTTATGATTTTATACACGATTTAGTGTATATAGGGGTCGCTAAAGGTATCGAAGTGTTTACTATTGGCCACAATCTGTACTCATATGATGTGGTCATTCATAATGAATATCATAATTCATATGATGTGACGGTCGACCCCAACAATGGACTACTTGTATGGTCTAAAACGAAGTATACGTTAGTCTCATACGAATATATGGGAAGCATAATGCGTGCCAATCAGGACGGCTCTAACATACAGGTGCTCTATAATAGTTCGGGAAATATTAAAACATTAACACTCGACATACCCTCACAATTGGTTTATTGGATCGATACAGACACAGATTTTTTGGAATCAATCACTTACTTAGGGACTAATTACCGGTTAATAAAAGATAGTTCCCGGTTTAGTTCAGTATTTTCTATGGATATGTTGGGGGAAAACATTTTTTGGTCCAATTCTGATACCAATTCTATATATATAACGGATATTACCGAAAGGGAAGGTGAGGAGAGGTTGATCACGTCGTACGCGGATTTACAGGCTATCCGTGTCCTCGACCCTAACCGACAAATCAATGGCACAAATAGGTGTCTCAATCATGAATGTTCGCAACTCTGTCTACCCGTCCAACAGGACTACCGGTGTGTTTGCGCTAAGAATCGGATTCTGTGTAAAGAGAATGTGAGACAAAAATCTTTGAAATTTATTTGGGATTCTTATAGCAATTGAATTGTATTTTAGGAAACATTAGTACTGCAAACAAATGACACGAATCTCATAGAGAATACAACCGATGATAGTATGGGAAAGATATCACAAAAATTGGATTCTTTGCTGAACACGACAAGTAATGCCACCAACTATTGGATTATTATAGCAGTGATTATCATATCTATTAATTTACTGCTAATCGGTATCTATTTTTACCGCAAAATGAAAGCGTAAGTAAACTATAATTTATCAACAATTTTAAAGTTATTTGCAATTAATAGGTGGACGAGAGGGTAGGGGTTATTCATTAACAGGAATTTGTTAATATTGATTCATTTTTGCTAAATTTTAACTTGATTATGTTCACATTTTGACATGTGTTTTATTATTATCTATACTGCAGTCCATTGGCTAATAATTTAATGGCTAGATTCAGAAATGACCGGGATCAAGTGATTTTGAGAGAGACGTCCATTAATGGAGATCTGTGACCATGTTGATGTTTTAAATTAATAATTTTATATTTAATAATTATAAATAAATGTAGATAATTACTATACTAACCAGATTATGCTACATTATTACAATATATTGTTTGTATTAATAAAATTATTACTTTAATTCGTAAAACTTGAATGTACTTATTAAGATTTATGTATTAAGTGATCAGGTATACAGTAAACAGTACACTATTTTTGACACAATATTACAAAATCTTTATTCAAATTAATCCAAAATTCAATCAAAATCATTCAAAAAACTTCAAAAAGCTCAACAATTTCGTGTCAAAACAAGTAATGAATATTTGAAACCCAGAATATTCTGTTAAAAAACTATTGAATACTAACACCTCATATAACTATCGTTTGGAAAGTTTATAAGGTTTAAAGTCGTACGTCTGATACCATTCCTCACCCCCAGCCATGACTTGACCGGCAAACCAAACACATGACCGCAAATAATAGCCCCGGGAGACAGAGTCCTCGCCCACGTGTAGTGTATGGGCTGTTCGCGTGCCATAAAGTTCCTGATTTTGATGGACATTGTGATCGACTTCTCGCGCGGAATCTCTGACGGATTGAAGACATAAACTAAAAAACAAATGACTTATCATAATCTGCAGGTGAACAGGGTATTTCCATAACGACTCAATGTCAGAATACATATGAGAGGGAAAAGTTGGACTTTAGGCAATAATATACCCTATTATTAGTCCAGTATATGTAGCCTGACTTAAGTGATTGTGGAAATATGTCGATCGCAGGAAATTTAGTTTAAATTACATTGTCGTAAACGGTTGACCGCAAGTACGCACACGTGGGCCTTAACATTGAGCTCCTTGGGAGTCATCATCAAAGCGATGATCCCTTTCCCCGTCGCCAAAATCTGGTCGAAGTCCGCGCCGACTGTTTGCGGCGAATTGATGTGCGATTGGCAATACATCTCGTGAGTGAGTTGTTTGGGTTTGGGGCCCAAGATCTTGGGGTAGACCGCGAATCCCGAGTCCATCGCAGACCAATCGCGTTCCAAATCCCTCCAGAAGTCCATTTCGTGCTCGAAGACCAGATGCTCTTTACTCCGTAGGCTAAATATGTGACGTATTGATTAATTATCAAGATAATTTTTATTCAATTATAATATAATTTTATAAATCAATAATGTCAATGTTAAATTTCTATGTATAATTATATACTGCATATTAATAAAATATAAATTCAACAAAAATTGTTCCATTACTAAATGCAAGCAAACTTTGTCATATAAATTAATGTTAATATTTGTGTTTTTTAATAGAGATTTTTGCCTATTATCTAATTTATATGGGAATTCAGTCGGAGGAGGGGTTAGGTATTTTTCTAATATTTACCACGTACTTATTGAATTGTCTCTAATTCGTTAAATATATAAAAACAATTTAATGAATAGCCGGTATACTATAGTTGCAAGCATTGATTGGGTACTGTATTGAGAAAAACGCGCGCAAACTAATGGCCCGCAAATAGGGTACAATTCTGACCCAAAGAATCCGAATCTCGGGTCACATTTCCCTTGCATTTGGTTGTGATGGTAGAGCTCATTGACCACGACTTGGAAGTCGTTGCCAGCGATGAGTCGCTCTTTAGGACCGATAGTCCTATCAAATGCCTCTTCCGTAACACTTGTGAGCCCTCACGCGTGGCCTCCTGTCGGACACCCTTTGGCTCCGATCGCCTCCTATTGCCATCAGTTGACCGCCGATTACGTGCTACCAGTGCTGATGGATGTGCGCGTCTATCGCTTACACCACTCGCGCCCTCCCGGCGCTCATCGTTGTCACCATTCAATGGGTTATTATTATTGCAATTAATTCGCAATAAATTACAATCAATTGAATTGACATTCAATTTATTACTCTTAACGACAACAGAGTTATCATTTAATTGAGCGTTAATTGCATTAAAACTGACGCTTAATCAATAACAAGTACATGGTTTGGCCAAACGATAGATACCCTTATTCTCTATCAATGGCTAAACTTAAGACAAAAGTGGATCCAAACGATAGACAAACTTTGCTTCAGATATACAAACGATGGACACATTTCGAGAGAAACAGTTTACACAGACATATAGCCGTCGATTGGGTCCACGATTTGGTCACTTCCTAATAGTCCGCCACAAAAAATGTGTCATAAAAGACATACGACTGGATCCGTTGGAATCGCTATTGTTTTGGTCGGAATATGTCAGACAAGTATTCCTATTGTGAGACTTACGACAAAAGCCAAATAATGAGGGCCTCCCAGGAGGG